TATGTATGTAGTTGGTACGCACCCCCGAGGCGGACAATTGAGCTGTTCCACCAGATGATAGATGGGCTCACTGGAGAGCTCATTGGACGGAGACCAGTCGTCATCGCAGGAGATTTCTATGCTTGGGCAGTGGATTGGGGGAGCAGGTGTACCAACGCAAAAGGGTATAGCCTACTGGAAACTCTGGCAAAGTTGAACGTCAGTCTGGCCAACTTAGGAACCATCAGCACCCTCAGCAAATATGGTAGGGAATCCATTATCGACGTCACTTTCTGAAGTACGTCGCTAGTGGCAAATATGAACTGGAGATTGGGCGAAGAGTACACCCATAGTAACCATCAGGTGATCCGGTACAGTATCGGCGAACGGACACCGGTGGAAATGCGGAGGACGAAAATAAGCGAACGGAAGTGGAAGACGAAGGCATTCAATAAGGATCTCTTCATCGAAGCTCTAAGGGTAGACAGCAGCGTCCCGGGTCTAAGCGCGAACGAGTTGACCGAATCATTAGCAAGGGCATGTGACACAACTATGCCGAGAAATTAGGAACCAAAGTGCAGGTGGCGTTCAGCTTACTGGTGGAACGGGGAAATTAGCACCCTCCATGCTCGTTGTCTTCTAGCCAGAAGGCGCGTTCAGAGAGCAAGAACGGAAGCAGGCAGAGAGGAGCGCAGGGTGGTGCTCCGAGAGGCCAGGGCTGCTTCAGAACGAAAGATAAAGCTGAGCAAGTCAAACAGTTTCAAGGAGCTGTGCCGCGATGCCGATGCCAACCCCTGATGCCGGTTAAAATGTGTCCCAACAAGCTGAAAGTCAACGTGGAGGGACTTTTCCCACAGTATGACCCAGCGACCTGGCCACCTACACGATATGGCGAGGAAGATGGAGACAACGTTGAACAAGTCTCCAACGAGGAACTCCTAGCAGCAGCGAAAGGGTTGAAAGCGAAGAAAGTTCTTAGATAGGTTCATCCTAAATAGGCTGACGAAATACACGGAGAATGAACACGAATTGTCAGAGAGGCAGTTCGGATTCCGGAAGGGGAGATCGACGGTGGATGCAATTCGGACATTGGTCGAGAGAGCCGAGCGGGTGTCCATCGCTGAAGCGCTGCATAGAATGAGGGTCCCTGATTACCTGTGTAGGATCATGAGGAGTCATTCTGGTCTGGCCTACGAAACAGACATGGGACAGAGATCGATTAGGATCACAGCGGGAGTTCCACAGGGCTCCATCCTTGGTCCAACGCTCTGGAACGGGATTACAACGGCGTGCTAACGCTGAAGCTGCCCAAAGGAGTTGAGATCGACACAGGCGAGTCGCTGCAAGAGGATGAAGTATTGTCAACTTTAACTGGATGCAAGCAGCGAAGCTGCAGATAGCCCACCACAAAACGGAAGTGCTTTTTTTCAGTAACTGTAAAGCGGTACAGCGAGCAGAAATCACCGTCAAGGAGCACGCCATAGCCTCAAAGCGTGTGTTAAAATACCTGGGAGTGATGATCAATGACCGGCTAAACTTCAACAGCTGCGTCGATAAAGTCTGTTAGAAGGCTTCGAAGGCCATCAACGCGATAGCCAGAATCATGCTGAACAACGCTGGTCCCAGCAGCAGCAAGAGGCGTCTTCTGGCCAGTGTGTCGTCGTCGATACTGAGGTATGGAGGTCCAGCGCTGGAAACGAAGCAGAACCAAAGGAAACTGAGCAGTACGTTCCGGCTCATGGCCATGCGAGTCGTGAGTGCGTACAGAACCATCTCAGAGGAAGCAGAATGCGTTATCGCTGGTGTAATCCCTATCGGCATCACCCTGGTGGAGGACAGCGAGTGCTACAGACGGAGAGAAGCCGGAAGAGTACGAAAAGTTGTGCGAGCGGAATCGTTGACTAAGTGGCAACAGGAGTGGAACACAGCGGAGAACGGTAGATGGACACATATACTAATACCGATTCTTTCAACCTGGGTGAACAGAAAACACGGAGAAGTCAACTTCCACCTAATGCAGTTCCTGTCTGGCCACGACTGCTTCAGAAAATACCTGCATCGGTTTGGACACGCAGTGTCACCCCTCTGTCCGGAGTGTGGCAACGCGGATGAAACGCCGGAGCATTTTGTCTTCGACTATCCATGGTTCGAGACAGTGCGAAGTGAGATGCCCGTCCTTAACGTGGAGAATGTCGTTGATGAAATGTGTCGAAAGGAATGCCGTCAACAGAGCAGTCACGCAGATTATGTCAGAGCTGCAGCGTAAATGGAGAGAAGAGCAGCGATCTAGCAACGCCAGCTAGTGCATGAGCACAGCCACCCCCCGAAGTAGTCGCTTCACAGTGATCTCGGGGGGATCTAGGCAGAGGAGACAATATGGAATGGGTTTTAGTGGAGCTGCACTAGGCAACTAGTCGATACCAAACCGTGCAAACTTCACTACAGGCAAGGTATCTTGAAGCTTTCCTAAACCTTACTATATAAAAAAAAACATGCATAGTAGACTGATGCAAAATTTGAAATTTTCGCTCCACAGTGTTCAAACGGTTTCAAATCGGGTCCTGATTAGCCTCCGAAAGTTTAAACCCATTTGATAAGAAACTGACATGGCACATACCATTTGAATTTTATATGGAAATTACTATGGGAAAACCAAACTTTTTGTTCATTGCCTTCTAGCCTTTTAACAGATTGTACTGTTAACAAAATCTATTGCTATTCTTATGGGAATTTTTATCAGCTACAACTTTGCAGAAAATCGTTTTTCAGCCAAACGTCAAATTAAATATTTATTATTTGTTTAAGAGATTGATAATCTAATGGCAAGATCAAGCAACTGTATTTCGAGCAACACTGTATTCTGCAGTGTGACATAGTAGCCATAATTTTTGTCCTCTATTCTACGCGTAAACTGATGAATTTTGAGTTAGATATGAATCGAAATTATGGTTTATTCATAGTAATTCCCATATAACATTCAAATGGTTTGTGCCAAGTCAGTTTCTCACTAAATGAGTTCAAATTTTGGGAGGCTAATCAGGACCCAATTTTAATCCGTTTGAGCACTGTGGAGCGAAAATTTTAAATTTTGCATCAGTCTAATGCATACACACATACAGAAACATTTTCCGATCCCTTTGAGATGAACCTTGGTGTACGAGAAAGGCAAAAAGGTTGGTATCAGCAAATTGTGTTATATATAGCCAAGTTTGTCTCCCCCAGGTGTGAAATTATTTTTCAAAATGTAATGATATGTTGCTTGATATATCTTATTTTAAAACTATATTTGTAAAATCGTTACAACAGTCTTAGTGTTTAGCGCCAATTCATCGTACTTGGCTTCAGCCCAACCTCGACGTCAACCTACCCTCTTCAGATCTTTCTCTAGTTAATAAATTACAGCTATCCCCCGAAGAACGCGTTACCCACTGAGTTGCAACCACCGCTTTTTCTCGACGAAGTTTTAACCAGTCGGTCTAATTTTTTGTATATGAGTAGTGCCAAGCGGTTGTTCGAAAACCCACCGAGTAGAACTCAGTGGGTAACGCGTTCTTCGGGGGGAAAGCTGCATCACACTAAAGCTTCATGTTGATTTTAGTATAGCATTTCCAACCATTTCTGAAAATCGTAAACGTCACGTATGAAGTAACAAAAAACACGTTGATTGTAATAAAGATCATTTAAAGTCCAAATAATGGCGCCGGTGGTGTAGTGGTAAGCGTGATTACCTCTCACCCCAGCAGGCCTGGGTTCAATCCCAGTCGGCGCCGCCGGGATGTTCTGAGGCATAACATCTCTGATCACGCCTTCCTTCGGAAGGGAAGTAAAGCCGTTGGTCCCCGGTTCATGAGTTGATGGGTCGATAGGTAGGGTCCAAGTGTGGGAGCTGCCTTCCTGGCACGTCGGAAGCATTGGTGCTCAGCACGGAAAACAAGATCGACGGAAAAAACAAGCCAAAGAAAAAAAAAATTAAAGGTTGAGGATCATTTAAACGTTTTCCCGATACATTGACGAGGTCGATCCAATAGGTCCGAGTGCTACCAGATCATTAAAGCAAAAAAAAAAACAAAAACTACCATCGCAGCCTTTTCAACATTCAACCACGCGTCTCCATCATTCTAGTGGTGTTTTTCCATCCTCTAGAATATGCACCATGAACAGGGCAGCGTTAGCTCTTCTCTCAGAACGCTCTCCGAAAAGCTCACCATCAGACACATTCTCAAAGCTTCGCGAGCGCCCATTTCCCACCCGATGTGGCACCCACCGAGAGCGAGAGCGATTCTTCAGCTTTGCATTACATATTTATGTTTGCGTACAATTTTAGGGGGTTGATCTCTTCGGTCTTCACAGGTTGGCAGCTGCAGATCGTCATGTCACATGTGTGCATCGAACGACGACGGAGCAGATTTCTGCTGGCCTTTTGACCGCGTTCATTCGCTCTGGGTCCGTCGATCGCATCGGAGCTTGATCGGTGTGCTTGCCTTACTCTACCACTAGAGGTCCGTCCCCCTCGGCGAGCACAGTTGGTTGTGGTAGTTGTCGCGATCGAGCACGCGCACTGCAGTCTACAGATTATAACAACGATCTTCAACTCAGCGGTTTCGGTCATTTATCGTTACGTGCTAATACGGATCGGACGTGTGTCATAATTCGTCAGCTCGCACCTCTGGTTTGGTGATCTTCTCGTCGCTTGGTGATCGATCACTGTAGTCAAGCACGCGGGCCAATACCAGCGGCGTGGTTGATGGACATCTTTTCCGTTCGTTACATGGCGTGAGGTGTCTTTCGTGAAAAGGGAGTGTACGCGTGTGAATTTAAAGAGCTTCCTGGAGATGGTGCTTGGCGGCAAACTCGAATCCAAAAAATATCATTAAGTACAAGTTGTGAGCCAACATCGATTGTGGTCCGAAAAGCGTCGAGTGTTTTAAACCATTTATTTGATCGTTTTTCTCCTCTTCATGCCGATCGCCGTCGTCGTTGAGAGGTGATAATAAATATTACATAAGAAAGTAAGCCAAAATTTGTGGGTCGAGCCAGTAAGTAAGAGTCGAAAGAGCAGAAGAAAAGAGTGAAACGATAAAAAAGTAAGAAAAATATAAACAACACGCCACACACGTGAAACAATATTACTCAATGAAAGAAGCCTGTTCCGGCTGCCAGCACTAGCTTCTCTTTCGCTCACTCGGTTCGCTTCTTCAAGGGGTCTCTTGAACGACGAAGAAACGCTGAAATGTGCAATGATATTATGTGAAGTGTGATTCATCTCAGCTGATTGTGTTGCAGTTGAGAGGTGCAGTTGCAGCAGCAGCAGCAGCGGCGGCTTAAGAGAAGTGAAACAAAAAATAGGTGAACGAATCTTCGATTGCCCCTTGCAACCATTTTCGGGTGAACGAAAGCGAAAAACCAGATCAGCTACGTAGTTTTAAGTTCGGGCAGAAATCATGGCACCGATTCGATTCGCGTCCCGCGCATTGATCTCAACCGTTGTCCTCGTGGTCTTGGTCACCGTTTGTGATCGGGCGTTGTCATCGTCATCGTCGTCGTCATTGTCCGTGGCAGCCTTGGCTTCGCCGTCATCATCTGGTAGTAGCGTAAACGGCACTCGATATCGGCACAAACGAGTTGTACGCCCGTCGTTGGCGGCGGCGGCTCAGCGAAATGAGTCCTGTGCGAACAAGTACTGTGCCGGCGATGAGGACGATAGTGGCGAGATGATCCTGGGAGGTAGCCGAGCCCTTCGGCAGGAGGGCGTACTGAAGCATACCTCGGTTCTGTACGGGTTGATTTCCATTGCCGAGCGGGATGAGCTGTCCGCGCGGTGCTACGACGAGCTGCAGCAGATCTACGATGGAATCCGGCAGAAGGAAATTTGGGCACTGAAAGGTAGGTCGGGGGTTTTTGGATACATGATTGTTAAATAGATCGCTGCTGCACGGCTTGGAGGGCTGAATCAAGCGGTGAAATACTGTTATGTAGATGAGCTGCATCCTCTGAGTATTATGCTTTCGTGAGGATATTGAGCTTAATGTTAACTTATAACAAAAAACCAAATTGGCGAAAAGCCGTGGTTTGAAAATGGCCATGCTTGTTGGGATACGTAGCACAAAGCAATCAACAATGCACAGGCCATCAAACAATCGCCATTTGAAGAAACGGCTGCTGGACGATTTTATCGAACTGCATGTTTAATAATACTTGTGCTATTTTCAATAATTACTTCTGTTCAGGCTTTCTTCATATAAATCTGGAGATTTTATTCAACCACAACATTCAACTACTTGGTGTTTTATGAGGTATGTCAAGAAGCTTTTATTTGATTTACACGAGTGGTAACAGAGATTATTCGATGAAATTTTTGATTATTCAGCTTTTATTAGGCATCATTCCGACGCAACACACATGTTCTTTAACAGTTGATATAACTTTAGTATAACTGGTTTTGGTTGTAATGCAGATCACTCAACAGGATTCTATTTAATTTGCGTTACTTGAGTTGCTTCCTTAACCAGCAATGCTGTTATAAGCTGCTTGATGTTCATGTGAAGTAACGTTCAAACTGTCGTTTTAATTAGACACTATTATGCATTTATTAAGCGATTATTAAATTTTGTTTATGTTATTTACTTGAAAAATAAAGAACGGAAGATAGGATAGTTTCTTTAGTGAGTGTTTTAATTACTTTTGACGAAGCACGGCACCACACATATTATTTTTGAAAATGTATTACATGCATACGGGAGTGGGACATTTCGCCGAAGGTCATTTCACCGAAGGTCATTTCACCGAATAAGTTATTTCGTTGAAAGTCATTTCGTTGAATGGGTCATTTCGCCGAAGAGCAAGTCATTTTCTACGGTTTTGAACTTTTCTCAAAGCTCAGTAAATTTTGAAATCAGCCTCGAAAAAAAGATTAAGAAGGATCAATTTTTTTAACCTGACAAACCTTCAAATAAAATGTTTCCTTTTTTAAACATAACCAGTTCTTTCGAGTTGTACTGATTTTGATTTTTTTTAAATAATTAATGTTTTACATTTGTAGAAATGTTTCCTTCTTTCCTTTTTTAAATATACACACTTCCTTCAAGTTGTGCTGATTTTATAAATTTTTATATAATCCATATTTTTGATTTATAGGAATGCTTCCTTAATGAGCGGTTCTTTCGAATAGTACTGATTTCGGAATTCTCTAAATAATCAACATATATCATATTTCCGTGCTGAGCAACAATGCGTTCCAAATTAGATTAAATTGCATATTGATTCATGATTAAATTCGGTGAAACGACCCATTTTACGAAATGTTCTTCGGCGAAATGACACGTCAAGCTTGCTTGAAACTGAATACCTGTCAACACTCTAGCTCCTTCGAGGCTCTGTAGGAATGATTAATTCATTCAACGTTGTTTTACATTAGACCAATGTTGCCTCTTCCCTTCTCCAATTTCCAAGGAAAGGTTCTGGTTTTTTTTTTAACTAGATCAATGAATTCATGAGTGATGCGATCGATCGATGGCAACGATTATAATTAACTAGGCGTAGAACACAAATAAAAAGCTACAAGGGTTGTACGCAATGGTTACGTAGAACTACGTGGTCTTATATAAAAAATCTTATTTGTTAACTCCAGCAGGAGCTTGTGTTTTGTGTAGGAATTGGAATTCAAGCGGGGTTCTCTCTGTTTATCCTCTTTAGTATGACAGCAACTTACGAAGAGCTACTGATTCCGATCAATAGCGGTGCAGCTTCTTCCTCTTTCTATGGATGCTCATGTGGGCTGCAGCTCGCTGATTGCAGGCAGCCTTTTGTTGTGTACTGGAGAACAATGTTCAATGCCACGCGCCAACCGGAAACCACCACATACGGTGATTGGAACTGAATCTGATCAGCGGTTGAGGCCAGCCTTGGTAGCTTGCGAGGAGCCTTTCGTTGTGTACTGGAGAACACCACCACTCACCACGCGGTGATTGAAAAAACACCGTTTGGTGAAACCGGATGGAATTCACTTTGAAATCTGTTTTAGGGAAATCGCTATTCGCAAGCAATCGGTGATAATTTTAATTATCAAAGCAACAGTTCCACATTCGTGCGATTATTACTAGTGACATTTTGAAAAATACTAAAGTTTCAAATTTAAGAGATGCGTAGAAATATATCTGATCAATTGGTGATAAAATTATTGAAATTGATCCAGGGGCAGCTGAGTTATTAACGTTCAAAATCTTTCGTAATTTTGTTACATGTTCCATTTTCGGGTTTCACAAAGTGTACACCCATATAGAAATCACAGACGTAGTCCTACGTCAAAAAGGGTTGAGCTTGGGATTGAACTCGTGACCTTCTACTTGGAAAGCGGAAACGGTAACCACTATTCTACTGATTTCTTCTTGTTGTTATTTACAACCAGAATTGTCAAATAATTAATCTTATACAGTCAGGAATCCGTATTGCCGTGGTAACGGGGCGTGAATAAGGTACCGCGAATAAGGATACCCACAGCTTATGGGACTTTCACTTATGGGGGCTGTGATGGATTATTTAATTTATTTCAATATATAGAGATATCTTCTAGACCAACAAGCCTGTGTCATTGGATTCAGGCTTATTTGGAAACTACACCGCTAGAGGCGTTTCACTTTTATGTTGCTTATGACGGGCGCTATAATATATGGATCTTAGGTCCAACATAGAATATTTCATGATCCTGGCCATATAGAAAGTTACTGTCTTCATCAAAGTTGTTCAAGTGATCATGCCCTTTGTATGGTGTTCATATTAGTTCAGAACTATCCACTACGCAGCGTTAGTGGGCATGTGAACTTCCTAAATAAACTGTATCTCGAGAACCTGGCCATATAGAACGTTGCTGTGTTCAGCAAAGTTGTTCAGGTGACCAAGTCCTTTCGGATGATGGTTATATTATTTAAGAACTTTCTCACTACGTGGCGCTAGCCTGCACATGAGCTTCCTTAATGTTATGTCTGGAAAGCTTGTCCATATAAGATGTTGCTGTGCAATGTGAGGAAACGAAACGGAATAGGGATGACGTGTAGAGAGGTTGTAAATCGATTTCGGACGCCATTTTCCAAGATGGCGATTATCGATTCATGAAAAACTGTAAAATACCCTACAATATGGGTATTTCCGGAAAGGGAACGACGTGTAGAGACTGGAAATAGATGCCAGACGTCATTTTGAAATCCAAGATGGCGGCCATCAGTTCAAGAAAAACTGTCAAATACCCTACAATATTGGTATTTCCGCCATCTTCAATTTCAAAATGGCGTCTGGCATCGATATCAGATCTCTACACGTCGTTCCTTATCCAAAAATACCCATATTGTGGAATTTGACAGTTTTTATTGAACCGATGCCCGCCAGCTTTGATTCCAAAATGGCGACTTGAATCGAAATCCAGCCTCTACACGTTATCCCCTTTCCGGAAATACCCATATTGTAGGGTATTGGATAGTTTTTTCTTGAACTGATGGCCGCCATCTTGGATTGCAAAATGACGTCTGGGATTGATTTACAGCCTCTACACGTCGTTCCCTTTCGGAAAATACCGATATTGTAGGGTATTTGACAGTTTTTCATGAATCGGTGATCGCCATCTTGGATTTGAAAATGGCGTCCGAAATCGATTTACAACCTCTCTACACGTCATCCCTATTCCGCTTCGTGTCCTCACATTGCACTGCAACATCTTATATGGCCAAGCCTTCCAGACATAACATATTAAGGAAGTTGATGTGCTCACTAGCGCTGCGTAGTGAGAGAGTTCTGAACTAATATGAACACCATACAAATGGACATGATCACTTGAACAACTTTGCCGAAGACAGTAACTTTCTATATGGCCAGGATCATGAAATATTCTATAGTGGACCTAAGATCCATATATTATAGCGCCCGTCATAAGTAACATAAAAGTGAAGGACCTCTAGCGGCGTAGTTCCCAATTAAACCTGAATCCAATGACACAGGCTATCCCAGTACAATAACTTTGTCGAAGACAGTATAGCTCTATATATTGAAATAAATAAGATAATCCACCACAGCCCCTATTAGTGAAAATCCCATAAGCTGTGAGTATCCTTATTCGCGGATATAAGGATCCGGCAATAAGGGATACCGGCAGTAAGAAATCCGGCAATAAGGATTCCTGACTGTACGTTGTTTATAAAGCATTTACAAAGAATGCGACGCACAGTGGTATAAGAGCTATTATGCTGACTGTATGTATGTGTGTGTATTCCCTCTAACCCCCACTGGCCGACAGTGTTATTATGGAAGAACTCTCTCTACAATGTCGCATTTATGGTCCGGGAGTAAGAAGCTGATAGATCTTTTGCAGATCCAGCAACCCATTTCAGAATGTCTGGAGCGTCACGCCCATTCCGAGATTACTGTCACTTACAATAAGTCCAGCATATATATAAGCATCTCCGTTATCAAATGGATATTGGTATTACATACACGCTTCCAGGTTCGAAAATATTCTTTTCAACCCTGGCACGTATTTAGTTTATTTTTTTTAAATTGTAAAATGTATTTGGATGGGCCTCACCATGTTAGTTTGATCCCCCAATCGATGGGTTCCGTAGTTTTGATTTTCTCTAAGCTTTGCATTTCATTTCGTCGTAATACTTCTTTCAATGAACACAAATTTGCATTGGCATGGTCATCTGGGAGGAGGTTCACGTCTAGTGCTTTCCTAGGAACAGTTCGTGGCCACCAGCTACCATCCGTCCAGTCTTGGGCGTATCCAGCGAGGCATCTTTCATATTGCTTGCAATCTCCATCATCGGCGAGAGACCAGCAGCCGAGCACTTTTTCAAGCGCAAAACTTGCTGATTCACGGCAACATCGGCCACCAAATCACC